TGGGGCCGGATTTGAACCTGCCACCCTTGGTATGTGGGGCCAGTGCCCTACCCACTTGAGCCACAGTGCCACCCAGTTTTGTTACAACTTTAAAAGTATAATTTTATGTCAAACTTCAGAGTGTGTATACAAAGTAAGAAATATTACATATTTTCAATAGGTTGATCAGAGGATTAGTTTTGGATCATGGTGTCCGACATCCAGATATGAAGAAACGAGTGGAAGATGCATTTATCCTTACTTGCAACGTCTCACTAGAATATGAAAAGACGTACGTGTTAGTTTCTGTGTAACTTTCGGAATTGTTTTTTCTAAAAGTGTTCTTAAATCTTTTTCTGTCCTCCCGGATCTTTATTGTAAACTCCTTCCACCCATCCTGCCTCCCTTTTCCCTTCTGTCTTTACTAGCTTGTTTTTATTAATCTTTCAGAGAGGTGAGCTCTGGTTTCTTTTATAAGACTGCGGAAGAGAAAGAGAAATTAGTAAAAGCTGAAAGAAAATTTATTGACAATAGAGTCCAAAAAATAATAGACCTGAAAGACAGAGTCTGTGCAGAACTCGATAAAGGATTTGTTGTCATTAATCAAAAGGTGAGAAAGAAAGTTTCGATTTTAATTCCTTGCAAATGTTCTGTAGCATTTCCCAAACTGTGTTGTATGGAACCCTAGAAGTCTCCAATGCCTTTGTAGGGAATCTGTGTTGTCAAAACGATTTTCATAATAATAATAATAATGAAAAAAATCTTTATCAAGTGTCTTCAAAAAAAAAAAAAATGTACTGACATTTGCCAGGATGGTGAAAAATTAGTATAGTAGGTAAAAGGTAAAACTTGTGGCACCTTAGTACAAATCAAAGCAGTAACGCCAAATTATACTAGTAGCCATTGCATTTTTATTGACTCATTGCCATATACTTGTAGTTCTAAAAAAAGAAAAAATGGAAGTTTCATGTAACATTGTCTTGAGAAAGTATTAAAATGTATTAATTTTATTAAATTTTGACCTTTAAATATGTATTGTTTTATTTTATGCAGTTAATGAATTAATTATTTAATTTTGGAGATAGGGTCTCACTCTGTTGCCCAGGATAGAATGTAGTGGGATATCATAGCTTGCTGCAGTCTCACACTCTTGGGCTCAAGTGATCCTCCTGTGTCCGTCTCTCAAATAGCTGGGACTAGCCCAGCTAATTTTTCTATTTTTTGTGGAGACGGGATCTTGTTCTTGCTTAGGCTGGTCTCAAATTTCTGACCTCAAGGGATCCTCCTATCTTGGCCTCTCCAAGTTCTAGGATGATGGGCATGAGCCACTGTGCCTTGCCTAAACATGTACCCTTTTATAATTCTATGTGACAACATATGAAGTGCATACAAAGCACTTTTGCTATATACTAGAATGTTGTCTCAAAGGAAAAGTCTTGTGTAGTTGTTTGAATGGCCACTTTTTTATGGAGTGTAATTTTTGCTTGAAAGAATGACTGACAAACTATTATTATTTAGATATGGATATTCAGAATGTTTTTCTCGAATGAATGAAGCAGTCCTGTTACTTCAAGGAAAACAACTGCAAATATTTGTTGTCAATAACATTTCAACTTTCAAACAAAAATTAGGATTTCAGAAAACTTGTATCTGCTACTGTGCACTTGACAGCTTCCCAATACTTAAAAGACTTTTCTGATGGCTTAGTGCCTGTAGCTCAGTGGATAGGGTGCCAGCCACATACCCCAGGGCTGTCTGGCTGGGACTACTCAATGATAACTACAACAAAAAAATAGCTGGGTGTTGTGGCAGGTACTGGTTGTCCCAGCTACTTGGGAGGCTGAGGCAAGAGAATCGCTTAGCCAAGAGTTTGAGGTTGCTGTGAGCTGTGATATTATGGCACTCTGCAGAGGACAACAGAGTGAGACTCTGTTTAAAAAAAAGACTTTTGGGTAGCTCCTAGGCTCAAAGGAGTCGGGTGCCAGCCCCGTGTGCCGGAGGTGGCGAGTTCAAACCCAGCCCCGGCCAAAAAACTGCAAAAAAAGAAAAAAAAAAAGACTTTTCTGATAGTATTAGTGATGAAATTAACAAATGTGATTTTTTCCACACTGTATAATTATGAAATGTGTCAACATTTGTAAGTTTTGCCTAATTCAATGAATCATTATTTTCTAAATGACTAAAGAAATGCATAATTTATAAAATCATGCTTGGACAAATTATTGAAAGCACAAGGCACACAAGTAGATTTTAATGTGGGACAGAATGAGAAGTTTTTGATAGTAGTTTCATATTGAAATTGACCTTCCAGAAACTACTTTGTTATATTAGCAAGAATATCCATAGTTATCTGAAAAGGCTATTAAAATATTCCTCTCTTTTCAATATTTATCTGTGTGGGGCCAGATTTTCTTCATATACTTAAACCAAAACAACATATCATGACAAATGGATTGCAGAAGCAGATAAGAAAATCCATCTACCTTCTATTAACACAGATATAAAAGAGATTTGAAGAAGTCTCTCACCCTATATATTTTTGTTTTGAAAAGTATCATAAATTTTCATTAAAATGTTATTTATGTTAATATAAAATAAGCTTAGGTCAGGTGCTATGGCTCATTCCTGTAATCCTGGCACTCTGGGAGGCCAAGGTGCGTGGATCGTTTGAGCTCAGAAGTTTGAGATCAGCCTGAGCAAGAGTGAGACCTGGTCTCTACTAAAAATGAAAAACTGAGGCAAGAGGACTGCTTGAAC